AACGGCAATAATATGTGGAAAACGTGCCTAGTCGTTCCTCTCGAGGATCGACAAGTTATAAATCAAGACAAGGTCTAGGGACAGTAATACTTGAGACCAGACCCAACAGACGGGACGCACGTGCGACTGACCCGCCGAATCGCTGACCAGACATCCCTATAAATCTAAAACTAAACAATACCAAAGAGAAACTTCCCTGACAGTTTCCCTCTCCTAATCCAAAGTCCTGCTAAAACTCCTTGCTCAATCGAAAACTCTATTTTTTCCTCCTATAATCACTTTTTACCAATCACCGCAAACCAAGACTAGACCAGACGAGACGACAGTCAGAAGTCGAAGACGAATAATCAGACGGTTTGGAAAAGTCGAAGACACAAGACGATGTTCAAAACTCGAAGACATAAGACGTTAGCTAGAAGACGTAAGACATCAAAACGGTAGTTAGGAGAAAACGGAAAACAGAAGACAAGACGTAAAATGGCAAAGACGAAGATGACATACCATACACACGAATCATGCAACTCACAAAACGTGTAATAAAGTGTATATACGAGACAAACGCATTATTACACACCCTAAGTGCTCAGTGTCTCGTAAGGGATTCGACACACTGAGAAAAAGGGTAGCAACGATTATAAAAGGCTCCCTTGTCAGCGTGGATCTACAATTCAAGCCTACACCACGCTACATCCAGCGTTTCTCGGTATTGCTTTCTCGGATGGATTACTCTCGCTGGCTAGGACCACCGAATGAAACGGTTTTGCCGTATGTCCTCGCGATTAGGCGACTTTCGCTTCCGCGTGCGGGGCGCAGATAGCGCGAGCGAATCGCCGTCCCTGGGGCCACGGGTCGAAAAGTTCGGTAGTTTGGGAAAGTTGGGTATTTAAAAACCACCCCTGTCGTGAAAGCCCGGTTTTACGCGTGAGAAGGGCCGTTTGTTTTTCTGGGATTTATGGAAAAACTGATAATTGGGTCAATCGCGACTGTAAAATTTTAGAGGACTCGAGGAGGACCCGAGGAATTTAAGGTTCTTGAGAAATTTAAATTAGTTCCGTGATGACTACTCCGGGAGTAGCGGTATCGCGAACGAAATTGCTTCTTCGCGTGGAATATCATTTTTCTGGGAGAGGTTCATCGTCCATTTTGCTGAGTATTGTACTTACGCGTGATGGGGGTGTGTGCGTACTAGAGCTGTAGTAAATTGACGTGACGCGTGTTAAAATTTATCGAGTGCATTCGTGAGAGGTATTAAAGGTGGAGAAGGTTTCGAACAATTTTAATTTTGCTTAACTTCGTATCGCGTGTCGTGACGTTTGAATTAACCCTTTTAGATTTAGAATTCGTGGAATGCTGGCGTTGAAATCTGGAGTAGATAGAGAAATCTTGTGTAGATAGTGTTGCAGTATTTAGGCCACGAGTCTTCAGTCCTCTGTTTTTCGCTCTACTGATAGAATCATCCTGTATAAATATAAATTTAACCACCAAGGAGTTAGAAAACTAACATAACCTAGTCTATTCTCAGCCTTCAGGTGTCAATAATAAAATCGAGAATTCAGAAGATCTAATGCAATAATTGTATGAAGCAAGCAATCTTTAGTAATTGTGGTTTGAGAGTATATCTGGACAGGTGTATAACTTAGAATTTAAATGGCGTGAGGGAGAGGGAGAAACGAGTGTCAGAGGGATGCAATTGCATCTGTGATAAATTGGTATCAATGGTATTAAAATGGACACAAATCAGAACGCTAAGTAGACACTATTACAGTGGTAGGATAAATCGTGTATTTTGTGCCCTCTGTTATTAACTCTATTGGCAAAAGGATCACACTTGGAAAGGATAAATCAAAATACAATACAATACATAATATAATACAACATAGTGCAAATTAATATAATACAATACATAATATAATACAACATAGTATAATATATAATACAATACATAATATAATACAACATAGTGCAATATATATTATAATACAACATAGTACAATAGATAACATAATTACAACATAACAAAATACAGTACATAAATCAAAGGATAAATGAAAATACAGCTACAATTAATGTTAAGTCTACCAAAAGGATTATGGTTCCTGATTCACTTCAGATTTCTCACTTCCACAATTTAAAAATACACAAATATATTAATTTCTATTCAAACAGTAACATACTGTCTTATCTTTAGTTTCTATTTGACCACTTGGGTACCAATCCTGTACTCAACATAATACAATACATAACATAATTACAACATAATAAAATATAATACATAAATTAAAGGATAAATGAAAATACAGCTACAATTAATGTTAAGTCTACCAAAAGGATTGTGGTTCCTGATTCACTTCAGATTTCTCATTTCCACAATTTAAAAATACACAAGTATATTAATTTCTATTCAAACAGTAACATACTGTCTTATCTTTAGTTTCTGTTTAACCACTTGGGTACCAATCCTGTACTCAACATAATACAATACATAACATAATTACAACATAACAAAATACAGTACATAAATCAAAGGATAAATGAAAATACAGCTATAATTAATGTTAAACTTACCAAAAGGATTGAAGTTTCTGATTCGCTTTAGACTTCTTGCTTTTACAATTTAAAAATATATAACTACGTTAATTTTTATTCAAACAGTGTTATAGTTTCTTATCTTTTGTTTCTGTTTGATCATTTTGGCACCAATCTTGTACTCTACATTAGGCTACTACAACTCGGTAATTCTACAATTAAAAACCAACACCGTCTTCATGCTCTACCAATACAATCTAATTGCAGTGGTTAAACAGTTCTCATACTGACTCTATTAGCAAAATTGTCACCTTCAATCTGAAATTCAATCCCAATTTAAGACCAACGCCAGTATTATCGATACGATAATCACCCAATCTGAGTGACCACGCGACCTGGACCTCAACCCAAATATTCCTCTTCACCCAGCTTCGCCTTGTCCTAATTAGCCTTTAAGAGAGTGTCTACCTACTGTAAGGACTGCATGCAATAAGAATTGTCAGAAAATATAGAGAGCTGTACCTAGACAATGCGAGATTAGACCAGAAGCGAAACTTAATGTCCAGATCTCTGCATATTAACAAATAGAAGATCCTTGCATACAAGCCCTCAGGTTAGAACTTCTAAAAGTTGTCCTTCACCATTGATGGTCAGTAGCTACTCATATCACTTGAACATTTTGTTCATACTTCCTGTCAATTCTCGTTCAACTGAACATAGTAAGTAGACACTCTTACTTTGAGTTGTATAGGTCTTCCTTATTTTCCTATTGACAATTGCCAAGCTACGCAATAGTGCTTATTGCATTTCGTGTCTAAGATTCAGATCAGCAGAATCAAGCGTGCAGTTATTATCGCCTTCACAACCAACTGCACTCACAGTTTTGGGCACAGACAGAAGAAGCATGATCACGCCACTTGGCACTCAAACGGTTGACACCTGGTCAGGAAGAGGCAAAGTTGGGTGACTACTGTATCAATGACGGTGACGTTGATGAGAGAGAGAAAAGCTAAAGAAGACCTTCCCTTGGGGAATAATATAGTCTGTACCTCGTGACCAAGACCCAGAACAGTAGTCAAAGAGATGGACGTATCAGAACACAGCAGGTACACACCCTTCAGAATTAGTTTGGCAGAAGCAAGTTTGGATAATTACTGTATCAATGGCAATGATAGTAATAATAATGAGGCAAGCAAGGCATATTCAAATCGACACGCGAAGACCTTTTCTTGTGAAATAATATAGTCTGTACCTAGTGACAGAACCCAGAGCAGTAGCCAAAGAGGTGGACATGTCTGAACAGAGTAAACAGACACTTTTCAGAACTAATCTAGAGGAGGCAAATTTGGCTGATTACTGTATCGATGACGATGATGTTGATGATAGGGAGGAAAGGCATGTTCAAATCGACATGCACAAACATTTCCTTCAGGAATAACACAATCTGTATTTTGTGACAAAAGCCTGAGCAGTAGTCAAGGAACAGGACGTATCTGAACGTAATAAATGGACACATCAGGAATGATCAGAAGGAGGCAAATTTGGCTGACTACTGTATCGCTGGGTGACAATGACGAGGCAAGAAACGCATTTTCAAATCGAAACACGAAGACCTTTTCTTGTGGAATAACATAGTCTGTACCTCACAGCAAGACCCTGAGCAGTAGCCAAAGAGCAGAACGTATCTGAACATAGTAGATAGACACTCTTCAGAACTAAGCTGGAAGAGGCAAATTTTGGTGACTACTTTATCGATGACGGTGATGTTGATGACGAAGAAAAAAGATAACGAAAACCTCTCCTTGGGGAATAATATAGTCTATACCTTTTGAGCAAGACCTCGAATAGTAGCCAAAGAGTAGAACGTATGAGAACACAGCAGATAGACACTCTTCAGAATTAGTTTGGATAATTACTGTATCGATGACAGTAATGGTAACAATGACGAAACAAGCAAGACATATTCAAATCGACACGCGAAGACCATTTCGTGTGGAATAACATAGTCTGTACCTCACAACAAGACCCTGAACAGTAGCTAAAGAGCAGGACGCATCTGAACATAGTAGATAGACACTCTTCAAAACTAATCTAGAACAGGCAAATTTGGCTGATTACTGTATCGATGACGGTGATGGATACAGTGATGAAACAAGGAAGACAAATTCAAATCGACACGCGAGGACCTTTCCTTAGTGAGTAATATAGTTTGTAGCTCGTGGCAAGGCCCCGAGCAGTAGCCAAAGGGCAGGACGTATCGGAGGGAGGAAAAGAGGGAGGAACGCGTGTGTAAAACTCCGGCATATAATTAGCCTGGCATACGAAATGAAATTCCTGAGGGTTGCGGCCGGCTGGGAACATAGCGAACGACTCGGTGGGAGGCTGGAGATGCCGAACACGTTAGTATAGGGTCGAGGACGAAGGGGTTGGCGAGGGTTGCAGCCGGTTGGTAAGCGGCGGTGCCTGTAGGGGCTGGCCAGGGCTCGCAGAGATGCGGATCGAAGGTAATATAGGCACATACGCGAAAGGCGAACGAAGGTGCAGAGAGAGGATTGGTTTTCCCGTTTCGATAAAGCGGCGGGAGGCCATTTCGTCGTCGAGTGCGGAACGCTGTTGAACACCCCCGTGGCTCTTTAAGCGTTCGGATCGGTTCCTCTTCCTCTCTCCGCCTCGCTCTGTCTCGCTTCACCCCGTGTCTTCCACCCTCTTCGCTTTCCTTTTCTTCTTACACGCGCCTCTGGCTGCTGCTCACTTTCTCTCTTTCTGCTGTTGCGCATCAAGCTACCCCTGTCGCTGTGTGTCTAGAGCACATACACTGCTACCTCTGTCCGCCCGTCCTTCTCCAACGCGTTTACGGTCTTGCGTGTATCAATATTTGACAGTTTAGCGTATACGTTCCTCTGCATTCCAGTTACGTAATTATGTGTTTATGCGGCTCTTCCTACTCCTTTGCAAATGTTTTTGCACGTTTAACCACCTACGTGTGTACTCGTCTACGTGTACTCGTGGCAGATCCGCGTGGGAAATGAAAAGACCTATCCTTTTTTAATGATACCTTGAAACGTGCTTTCTTGGTCCAATTTTACAATTTTTCTTTTTCTTTTTTAAGGAAATTTTGTCTTTTTTTTTAAAGAATTTGTTTTTTCATATTTAATTTGGATCCGATATTTCGTATCGTTTGGTTCGTTTTAGCTTTTGTGTTTGAGATATAATTCTTTGTATCGCAATTTTGTTTGACAAGAATAGGTTAACGTTAATACGAATTGGGAAAAGAACGTAGAATTTTGAGTAGCAATTCTAAGTAGGTTTTTGACACTAGGTTTAGATTTTGTGTTTCAGATATGATATTTTGTATCGCAATTTTGTTTGACAAGAATAGGTTAACGTTAATACGAATTGGGAAAAGAACGTAGAATTTTGAGTAGCAAATCGAAGTAGGTCTTTAACACTAGATTTATGACCGCTATCTGTACACTTATTTCTACATATTTGACATCTGTCAAATTGACAGGTAAAGGAAACCACGTGTCTATTTTTTAACGACTAGTTTAATTTAATAACGATTATAATATTAACTGTCTTAATCTAAGTTAACTAAATCAAATTGACGGGTTCCGTAAATCTAGTGTTAAGTATGATCCAGCTGGATCGTGATTTGCTCTTTGTGTCTATGCTTTTATTCAGAAGAATTTTAAATCCCGAAGGTTTGTAACTCGTGAAACTGTAAAAATTCGAAGTACTGATATCGTTCTGCAAACCAAAAATTTTTGTAATTAGAATTGAAATTTTGACGAAATTTTTATTTCGATAAATCTCGATTGTGCCTACTTAGATAAGAGACATGAACAGTGTAGGAATTTGGGATTTTAGGATTTTAATAACTAGTCGCTTTGCTCTTTGGTAACCCTTTTATTCCTTCAGTATGCTGGTCGGCTAGTGCCCCAAGAACGCATCCCTCGCTATTTTATAGGGCGTGTGCCCTCTCCTTCGCCTCGTCTTCACGTGTCCGTAGCCTCTTCGGCTGAGTTCCGGTCCAGGTGCCCCAACTTGGCGTCTAAACATCCCTATCTGTGGCTGTTGTCCTTGGACCTCTACAATGCCTTCTAAAACTCCAACGAAGGGCTTTTCGAAGACAATGAGCAGCGATGAAAGTTGCCCAGAACAGTAACACGTGAAATCTTCTTGCATCTAATTATTTATCAATTTCATCCGACTGTATATCTACCTCGCCTAAATTTCCAAAATTTGAAATCAGAAAGAAATAACAAGTTTCTAATTCTGCAAACTCGAAGCTTCTCTAAGTTTCCGAGGATTTTAAGAAGTTTCGAAAATTTCTCATCACGAGAGGAAGCACGAAGCTCGGACTTTCTGAATCTTTTTCTATTCCTACGTCTCGATGAAACCCGTTCCTAATTTTCTTACCAGGCTTCGAAAAATTTCAAATCACAGGAAAGGGAAACTCTCTCGAGTTCTGAGAGGTTTCGAGAGGCTTCGAGGAGCCTAGCCCAGATTTTACTCGTCGCGCTGTCTAGACGAACAAAAGAAACAGTTGGGTGAATTAATTCGAATCAGTCGCTGTTAAAGGAGTAAGTAGGAGCTGCCCAATACACGCAAACACGTATTGGACACCTTTATCGGGGCCACTAATCTATTAAGGCAAGTCGGAGAAGGGCGAAAGCTCGAATTTATGCCGCGACTACAAATCTTGGCTTGGCCCGACGCGCAGAGAAGGGAGTTGAAAACCACGTAGAACCGAGCTGAGCACGAGGCAGCAGGGCTAGACCTGGTTCTACGAGCCTCCTTGAGTTCCAGATTCTACGGTAATCGATTGCCAGACGAAAACACCTCTATTAGAAATCCACAACCGTCTTACGGCCACCGAGCTCGTCGGGTGTAGAAGTAAATCTTGGTTAATGGTCTATACTTGTACCGGCGTCGGGAACAACAACAATTATCCTCCCAGAAAGAAGTAACTATACTAACAAATAACATTTGGCCGAGATAACCGAAACAATCGGGGACCCATGCTAGTGACAGAGCTCTACATTCCTCGCGTCATTCAAGGACGCACCCCCTTTCTCTTTTAGAGTAAATTCAAATTGAAGAACGTGAAATGAATTTTATTTTGAAGTACGTTTAATTTTATGGTTACTGTGAACAGAATATTTGCAGCAGAATTAATTGGAGAATTAATTAATTCGGTTAAAAAAGCTTCGATCACTATTGGTCGAAGATGAGAACGAAGGTCATCGGTCATTGTTTTCAGCCAATAGCGATCATTGCTTGCGATCATGCGAGTGTCAGCGGAGTTAATCAGCCGTGGAGATATAAACACGCTGTGCCTTCTTTCTTCGAACGCACAGTACTTGCTGTAGGAACACATCCGTCGATGCGGAAAAGGAAAGTCTAGTTTTGTTATTGTTTCCACTAGTATTGTTATTGTATTATTATTGTTTCCACTCCTAGAAACATCGAGGGTCCCGATTCAATGGGGGCCCGGTTTTTGTCTTTACGACTAGCACCCCATGACTCACAGAGCACCCCATGACTCACGTGGATCACCTCGAACGTTTGGGGTAGGTCCTGGTAAAGATAGTTCGTTCGCGAATAGAGTACGGAAATAGGAGCTTTTCGAAAATAGGTACCGTGTTCTCTGTAGCCTCTCGATCTTTCGAGATCATTTCTAATGAGTAATACTACTGCTGAAACGGTATTTCAAAGTGTTAGAAATTTTGCTATTCAATTTTGGATTGTAGTGGATTTTTAACTTGATTTGAAGGAATGAATAAAACACGGTTGAACGACAAGAGAGAGCTTTTATTTGGAACTAGAATCAGAGGTGAATGCTGCCACCTGGTGGCATTGTCATACATACATGGTTATAACTTAATTGCGATGGGAGATTACGAACAGGTTATATACTTTAACACAAGGATTAATAATAGGTTTTATATTTTTACGATTGTGTGGATATAGGTATAAGAATAATAGGTAAAGAAAATGAAGTATTAAAAATAATTTTGTTCTACTAATGATATCCCCGTCGAGAGGAAACTTAATCGATAACCTCGGTGAGAGGCGAAACACATAGCCGTACATGTTTACAATTCAATCACCGGCCTCTTTACACCGCGTGCATAGCGCCGTTACCGTAACAGATGAAGGTTAAGAGCGGCCATAAATTTTCTTTTCAACTTCGTTTATCCCGCGCGGAAGATTCTCGCGCTATCTAGCGGGAGAGCGCGTAACGACGGGCCTGAGATGCTATCACGGCCGAGGAGGAAAAGATAGGCTGCCGGCTTGGCGTGTAGACGATAATCACGGTAGCTGCACGGCGAGTACGAAACAACACTCGTAAATAATAGTCGAATAACCCTTCCACGTACGTTTGGATG